TTGTATCTGTAAAACCTGCAATAGTGGCGTGTTAAGTCTGTAAGTGAAGTTCAAATAAATCATTTGCTTGAACCTTGCAGTTAAGTCTGCGAGTGAAGCTCAAGTCGTTTGCTTGAACCTTGCAGTTAAGTCCTTTTCTGTCACAGCAACAAGTAGAAAAACCGATTCTTTAGCGAAGGCTGGGATTGTCATATGATCCCCTAAGTAATAACTTGGGGTTAAAGCATAACCAAAATGGTAAATAACAAAAATAGATATTGGGCTTGCAAAGTTGCAGGGTTGAGCTAGGGGGCTGCAATATATTCACAAGGGCTCAGGGATTAATATAGTTAATTTTGATTTTTACAGTCATTTTTCCTGTAGTTGAAACCTTGATTCTTGGTGCAGTCCCTGTTTCCAATGCATGTATTTTACTGGTTCAAGAAGTTTGGGGCCCGAGCACTGTGGGGACAGCCTGGGGAAGGGAGGCAGAAAGCCTAAGTTGTGTTTGGAAGAGGAAATAATTAATCCAAAAAGTGGGCTGACCAAAGGCGGTATCAGCAGTGCTTGTGGGGGGTTTAGTATGTTTTTTTCCCCTCTTTCAATTTTTTACTGTATCCCTTTTTTTCCTTGTTTGTTTATTCTTTCCAAAGTTTTCCTTCACCGCTGACTTTTTTTCTCATTGGTTTTTCCTCCTTGCTGCTTTTCCCCAGGCAGACTGAGCCAGATAAAGCCAGAGCAGCGCCTTCCCTCTGTTAATATGCGGCAGGTTTGGGTATGTGGATGCTGGGGGTCTCTGGAGGGAGCTGGGGTGTCTGTTCTTTCTCCCCTGCCCCGGGAAGGTCAATAAGGGCAGCCTGTCCTTACGGACCTCCAGCCCTGGGGACTCTTCCTCGGACAGTCCCATGCCTTTGCCATCAGACGGGGTTTTTCTCCCTAGTCTTTGCTTTAAACCTGCAATTCTGAGCAATTATCTCTTGTCCATCCTGCTCGCTGCAGTCTTCTACAGGCTTGCAGACTGCTGTCGTGTTTCCTCCAAGTCTCTTCTTTCTTTCAGTGTGGAGACTGTGTTCTCACGGGTCAAGTGCTTTAGAGCTGACTCTTCCCGTCTTCTGCGCCGTATCTTCTTTTTTGGCTTGCAGGCAGTAGCCCTGTTTGTGCATTTTGGCACGATTTGTGCCTTTGCTCGGATTGCCGGTTCTCGACCCACTGAACCCCGGCTATTTTTCTTGTTTTTCCTTTCTTTTTTTTTTTTTCTTCTTTTTTTCCTTTAACCAGCTGCTGCCTAATTGCTATCCTGGATGGCAACAGCCAAATACTGAAACGTAGCACTTGTTTCTAATAAATTTCATCCTATTATTTCCACCCTCCCGCAATATGCCAGTATCGTTTGAATTCTCTCTGTCCTCCATGTAATTGCAGCCTCCAAAGCGGACATTATCAGCAAGTTTTATGAGCCCATTCTCCAGTCCATCATTAGTGGCAGCAGCGAGTGGCACTGGATAGACGGGGCCTTCTTGGTGCAGCCCTTCTATTTTGCCGCTGAATCACAGATAACCGCGTTTGGCATGTGTTTGCACCCAGCCTGCGGCAGATTAACCCGGGGCGCATTCCTCAGCTTGCCGATGGGAATGCAGACGGTGTCTGCGTGGAAACTCTGGCCAAGAGGTGAAATAGCTCTTACCCAGCAGAGCCGTATAAAGCAATTTGCAGAAGCTTGCAGAGGGAGGTGGAACGTCCCGTCTCTCCAGCTGACCCCCCCGTGTTGCCCTCCCTGCCTGGGGCTGGGTTTGCCCCGTGCCCTCCGGCTCCGGGGGAGCTCAGCCGCTGCCCGGCGTCGTGGGGCTTCTGGCAGGGCCATAGGCAAGTCACGTTTTTCCCTTTTGAGCCCATAATCTGGCTCTAATCTTGACGGGGTGAAGCTTGCTGTTGGGACCGACTCAGGTCCGAGTTTGGACCGTGCTTTATCCCAGGACTTGTCTGTGCCAGCTGTGAAAACAGCTTTAGCTTTAAAAAAAAAAAAAAATTAAAAAAAAAAAATCCTGAGTTATGCAGCCCTGCTGTGCTCCTTAGCAAATAATTGTTGCATACACTGGTTAATTGTTTATCCATTAACCGACTGTGTCAATTAATCTGACAAGAGGAGCCCGGCTGTACCTGGCACAGGGAGGAGGAGGAGGAGGGAGGATGCACACGCTTCCCGTGTTGGCTCCTGTCCGCCCGCTCTTCCTCCAGCCCTGTTGATGTGGTATTTGTCTGCTGGTTTCCTTCAAGTGTAACTGCTGCCAGGGCACGTACAAAGTGTGTTTGGGCTTGTGTTCTCTCTGACCGTGAAAAACCTTTTGGAAAGTGCGTTAAGTTGCCATGAAGCGGGAGCATCTTTTCAGACTGGAGCCAAAAAAAACCCACCCCAAACTGTGTTTTGTTTCTAAATGTGAATACAGACAGAAGTACAAAGCAAGATGGTGCTTTATTTCCAGCTAGAGATGGGCAAAAAAGTTCTTTGCGTGGAGTGCCGAGTGGGAAATAAAATAGGATTTTATTGTACGTGTCGGTGCAGAGCAGGGAAGCGCTGGGGCAGCTCTGGGCTCCCCCCTGAAACCCCCCGGGGTTATTTGGGAAAGCCGGGCGGTGTGGCCTTCCTCCTGGGAATGCTATTTTTGTACGCTTGCTTTCTAGGGAGAAAAATCAAACATCCGAAGCCAGTCTATATCTGGTGGAATGACTTCACTGCTAGAAGAAAATAAAAATGTACCTTATGCTCTCTTGAGTAATTCCAGTCCCCTGCAGTATGTTGTTAGTAATAGGTAAAGTGTAAAGCTTCTGACAGCGAGAACTGGTTTTCCATCGAGGTGCGGGGCAGCGTTAATGCCAAATTCTGGCTGCAGGGAGCTTGTGCAAACTGGGTAGAGCGGTGGGTAACATCAGTGGCTTGGTCGTCCCACGTTTCAGTGTATCTCCATCTGCGAGGATTAGTGCAAATTCCTTTTTTGCCCTCCCTGGGCAGAAGGGGAGGGAGGTAGCCGGGAGTATACGTGTGTGGGTTTGTGTTTGAATTATTCAGGCGGATCTCTTGAAGTGACATGCCAGCCCAGCGAGCCCCCAGTCCGGTCCTAAACCCTTCTGGGCTGTGGTGGCATTCCCAGCCACTGGTGGAGGGTGGCAGAGCCACCAAGACCCTCGGAGCCCTCCCTCCGGCGATGAAGCTGTTGATTCTGCATTTACTTTGGTATAAGAGAAGAGATTGACCCAGTTTTTCTTGATTCAAGCCTGTGTGCAAATGGATTTATTTTTTTTTCTGAAGGCAGCTGATTTTAACATGTTTTTGGGCTTACATGATACCAGCCTTATGTAGTAATAAAATTATGTACTTGTTTCAAGAGGAAACGATAACAAAGAATGTTCTTTCAAAAGCAGCTAAACACATGAGGTATTAAAATGTTAAATTATTTCCAAATTACGGCATATCCAGTTCTTTCTATGGAGCTCACTCAAGAATAATTGCACAGTGTACTTTGCAGAATTTTACATCAGAAATGTCGCACTTTTTTTTTTTTTTTTTAAATCATTCTTTCACACAATGTAAGAGCTTGCATGAGTATAAATGGGCATCCTTGTATTGGCTTCTGTAAAATGTTGCCAGTTTGTCCCGTCCGTATTTTTTTCAGCATAGCTATCAAGCTGTGACATTTATTGCAGAGCAGAACAAAGATCGAAGGGACTTTTTATCACGGAGATGCCTAGGAGCTGTCTCTTGGCTGCGTGCAGGGACCAGCAGCTGGGTCCGCAGCCCCACGGTGAGTTGCAGAGTCTGGAGGAGGAGGAGGAGGAGGAAGAAGCAGCTTGGCAAAAATTCACAAGCACTGAAAGCTTGTGCCAGTGTTAGTGGATGTGCCTCACGTCTTCCCCCCCCCCCAATTTTATTTTTTTCCTAATTTTATTTTTTTTCCTAATTTTTTTTCCTAATTTTATTTTTTTTTTCCCTAATTTTATTTTCTTTTCTTCTTCCTTCCCCGTTTTTGTCCTGATTCAGGCTCCTGGCATGGGTGGATGGGGATAAAGGTGGGACGTGCTGTAGTCATCGGTGCCCAACCCTCCCCAGGTACCACTGTCTTCCCAGTGCCCCCTGTCCCCATCCCGAAGGGGCAGTGGGCCGGTCCCCTGCAGCCACCTGGGCTGTATAAGGTGTTCGAGCTCCCTGGGGAGGGGCTGATGGAGGGGGGAACCACAAGGACGAGCTGCAGCCTTCACCCGTGTTGCTCACAGGCTTTCTGTAGGCATCAGGGTGCCCCTGACCCCCGCTCTGCTCCCTGTGGCTGTGATTTTTGAGCCTGCTGGGAGGATGGAGCCGTGGGAGAGGAGGAGACACGCTGATACCACAGGCATTCATGTAAGGTGTGTAGAAATGGAGGAAATCTTAACAATGCCAGGAGCTTATATCGCTCATTCAATCAAAGGAAGAACACTTAACAAAAACGCCTGCTGGTTTTCTGAGTGAGCTTTTCCTCCATGCAGCCTAACCTGGGAAACGCAGCGTCGTGTGGATTAAGTCTGGGATTTGGCCAGGTGTTAACATGGTTTGTGCTTTTTCTGGTGCATTGTTGTTATTACAGAGCTAGCTGAGATGATCAGGCAAGTTGATGCAGAAAGTTCATTGCTTTCCCTTTGAAATCAAGATGTGAAGGTACTTCTAAGCCAAAACCAACCCCTTGCAGGTTTTTGTAGCTGGAAAGTGAAATATTCTGTAGTTTCCATTTTAAAGTACAACTGGAGCGTCTGAGTCCTGTGGTCGCTGGCATTGGGGGAAATTTTCTCTTGTAGCCTGAAGCTACCTGTGCTTTTTCTCTGCTCTGGGCGGTGGTCTCCTGCAGCTGCAGGGCTGAGGGTTTTGCATCGGGTGGGTAGGATGGGAATAGTTGGGAGGAATGCGGGTAAGGGGCTGGAGGGTTCCCCTCTGCCCTGCTGTGCTAAGGCGTTGCAGAGGGGATGATGATGGCCCCGCTCCTTCCTCTCCTCCCCAGCGCCCCGTGGCTCCGGTGCACGGGTCCCTGACATGTCCCTGAGAGCCGACAGCCATGCAGCTACGTCGACGCTGAGGAAGATCGCTGCAGACATGAGTAACATCATCGAGAGCCTGGACACCAGGGAGCTCCACTTCGACGGGGAGGAGGTCGACGCGGAGGTGCTAAATGATCCAAAAGGCACCGGTGAGTTGACACCCGTATGTTCTCGCCCCGTGTCCTGCCTAGATTTAATAACTGATAATCTGTTGACAGATAGGTTACAATCCAAGTGGTTTTACCAAGCCTAGCCACCGACCCTGGTTTAGGACCAGGAGGCATTACTCTTAGCACTTGAGCTCTTCAAGTCCTTCTGTGAAAGCTGGTCTTTAAGCTCTCTTAAATAAAACCTGGTCTATTTTAGTGGAATTAACGCTGCTGCGTAAATACTCCCGTATTAAAGTATTGCAGCTATCTGCTGGCTTTCCTGCCCTCGTTGCTCATTACGAGGCTGTTGAACTAACGGGGTTTGTGGTCCTTCCAGCGTGCATTCCCTTCTCTGCCATCTATCACACCCATGGGTTCAAAGAGCCAGGCATGCAGACGTACCTCACGGGATGTCCTGTTCGAGTGCGCGTGTTGGAAGTTGAACGCTTTACTTCCACAAAGAAGGTCAGAACTTCCAGAAATTTCATTTGATTTCCATAGAACTGTGTAAAAATGCTGCTTGTGGCTAATTTTGCGCGTGCTTGTTCATGGGCTGAGGAAGCAGGAATGCCTGAGTCTCAGCAAATGCTTAAGAGAGAAGGTTACCTGTCTGTTTATAAAACCTAACAAAGCCAAACAAGAAATTGTGAGACAGAATGATCCTTAAGTAAAACTGAACGAGCTGCTCATCTTTAGATGAGCAGCTGCAGGAAAATGACTTATTTCAAAGCTGCATCCCTTGTGGTGGTGGTCTCCTCTGCAGGTACCGAGCCCCAACGTTTACACCATCGAGCTGACCCATGAAGAGTTCACCTGGCAGGTAAAAAGGAAGTTCAAGCACTTCCAGGAGTTGCACAGGGAGCTGCTGAGGTACAAAGCCTTCGTGCGCATCCCTATCCCTACCAGGAGGTGAGTGTGCAGCCCTGCGGACGCGATGGGCTTTGGGAAGATGTGATCTTCTCTTCTCTTCTCTTTTAAGAGCATATCAGTTTGGCTTCGCTGATCCCGTTTACTTCGCTTGGAAGCAGGAGAGGGCAGAAGAATTTAGTCTCTACAAATATTTAGCACCTATAATAAAAATAGTTAATCTCTACGTATTTAGCAGCCATAGTCTATGTGGTGCAAGCATCTCTCTGCTGATGCAGAAAGCACGTTGGGTCCCAGGTCCTCAGCTTTGGAGCTGAATTTGCCTCGGAACTTGGGGAAGCGTTACGCTAATGCTAATGGGAATTGGTGTGCTGTGGCTTTTTGCCAGCGTGGGCTGGATGTGGGAGGTACGGGGGTCCCTGGCGTGGGTGGTCAGCCCTACCCAGGCTGGCCTTGGTGCTTGGGGTGGCTGGAAGCATAAGGGGAAAGAGAAGTGGGAAGAGAAGAGGCAAGAGCCTCCCGATCTCGAGAAATGTGGGGAGGTGATATTAGAGAGGTGAAATTATCAGGGGTTAAGGGCTGGGAGAACATAATGCCCTAAAAATAGGTTTTAGGCTCCCTGGCCTTATAAGGGCAAAAGGGGACCCTCAAAAAATCAAACTCTGATATTTCTGTGTTGTAGTTCTGTTTGTGAGCCAGTTGCAGCACACTGGCTTCTTAAATGAATCCATGCTTGCTTTTTTTTTTGCTTTCCTGCCCACCCATCTCAGTTTTTAAGAGCTTGGATAGGAAAAATAAAAGCACTGCAGAAGAAGGGTTATGTATCGAGGCATGTACATGCTCACGGCACTTAGCCTTGACATCGGGGTTTGTTTTTCCTTCCAGTCACACAGTGAGAAGACAATCCATCAAAAGGGGCGAACCGAGGCAGATGCCGAGTCTGCCGCACACCGCGGAGAGCACGGTGCGGGAAGAGCACTTCTCCAGCCGGAGGGTAAGTGCCCAGCTCGGTGTGTGGGGGCCAGAGGGATGCTCTGGGGGGGCTTCTGAGGTGCAGAGATGCCAGGCAGGTTGCTTGCAAAGCCACGCGCTGTCAAAGCCCTTGTTTTATTGCCATTAAAGTCTTTTGCTTGACAAACTTAGGCTTTGACAAGTCCAGCTTTAACGCCAAATTCTCCCCCGCGTGAAGAGGAGGATGCTGCTCCCAGGGTTCGCACGGACGAAGTTTTCCTCTGCAGTTGAGGAAAACCACAGTGCCGAGAGTGGCGGTTCCCCTCCTCCCACCTGCTCCGATTTAAAGATAGAAGAGCCAGTTTGCAGAGTCGGGTTGCGTGATGGGAGGCAGCCCCACGGCCATCAAAATCTGAGAGATTTCAGTTCTGTCCCCCTCTGAAAGAGGAGATGACAGTCAGGCTCTTCATGCTGAAGTGGGTAATTTTAGCCGAGGCACATGTGTTCTGTGTAACTTCATCAGATGTTAACAGATGGGCCCTTCTATGAAGAGGGTGGCTGTCTTCCTACCTCTTCATCGCAGCTTTGCTGTTTGTGAAGAAAAAAAAAAAAGTCTGTAAAAAGCCATGTTTGTTCACCCTGTGCTTATCGTTCTCTTTCTGCTGTTCACTCCTTCCCTGAGCTTTCTGCTGCTGAAGCCTCAAGTCCCAAAAGGTTGTGTCTCGTGGCTGTGCAGTGCAGATAACCCTCCCTGCTGTGCATGGCTTTGCTGCTGTGCGGGGAGTTTCAGGAGAGAGGTGTTGGTTTAAAAGAGGAAGAAAAATGTTTTCTAGCTCCCTTCCCCACTGCCTTGGTTTCCTTGTGGGAACCCCACAGCTTTCACCATGGGGATGTATATCCCTGCTGCCCAGCTGGGTAGCTCAGTGCCGCGATGCTAACACTGAGAAGGACGAAGGTCCCGATGGCATTTGTTTCTTCTTGGTTTCTTTTGTGTCCTGTAGGACTCTGCCCAGCTTCCCATGCCCAAACAGTTTAATCTCTTCTTTGCCCAGTTACCATGAGGATGGGAAGAGATTCTCTCTCCTGTAATGTTTTTTAATCCCTTCCCCTCCTGGCTGGGGAGGACAGGCTCTCCAAAGACAGGTGGTTCAGCCACTGCCCTCTCCATGGTTTTGGGACAGGGCAGCATGATCACCGTGCTCCTCACCTTGTGAACCTGGTGTTTAACCAAAACAGCCGCTCTCAGTTGCGGCTGAGGCTGTGTTTCCCAGCAAAGCTAATTTGTGTGGGTCAGAAACAGCAGGGACTGATTTTTGTATTTAAAATTGTTCTGAAACTTGGGCTCAGTCAAGAAAGTTGACCTCCAAAGTGATGGTGCCAAGGAACAGGTCTGCTGGTGGAAGGTACAAACACAGATCTGTGAACAGTAAACAACCTGTGATCGAACTGTTTATGCTGCTGAGCTATAATCTTCTCTGAGCACATAATAATGTATTTATTTATCCATTCAAGCTGAAAAGCATGTCTGATTTCTTGATAGCTTCCTAATGCCAGGCAGTTGGGTTGTGGGGTTTTTTCTTGAAAATTCCTGCATCTCATTTAAAGTTTCAATGTTTTAATTGTAGAAACAGCTGGAAGACTACTTGACAAAGATCCTAAAGATGCCGATGTACAGGAACTACCATGGAACAGTAAGTAGAAATTAGTTTGCTTGAACGCCTAAAGAATATTCGCTTTGCAAGTGTTGAATTCGTTGGAAGAAGACATGCAGCTTATATAAGAAACATTTTACAGCTGTTTTGCAAGCAATTTGGCTTAGCTGGTTTCTCCAGCATGGATGTAATGTGATTAAAACCAAAGGAAGAGAGTGAATGGCTCAGTCTTGGAGGTCACTTTTATAACACAGTGATAACTTTCGCCAGGTAGTCCAGTCCAGAAAGCTGATTATACATGTATGATGTAGTGGGTTTCTGTTTAATTCTGGGGAGGATTTAAAATGATAAGTTGAAGTTTTAAATACTTAAACAACTGGAGTCCAAACCATATTTGGAATCGCTCCTTCAGCCTGGGCTTTGTCTGCAGTCCTGGGTGCAAATTGGTCTCAGGTTCCTATTCTGCGCAGTTTCACTGGACGTTGGTGACGCTGAGTTTGTATGAGTGATACCCATTCATCTCTGCAGGGATTTTGTCACTTCCAAAGGGAGATGGTAATTGGCTTATTTCCCCGAGTTGATGGGTTTTTTTGAAATGAGGAGAGATGTCAAATCCAGCTTCAGGCCTATTTTAAGCAAAAATACTTCCTTTGAAAGCCATCCTCAAATGTTTCTTCAGTAGTCCTCACCTGTCAGCCACAGCTGTAACATCTCCCTGGGATGGTAATTTATTTCCCCTTTTCTTGGCTGCATAATGACTGTGTTTCTCCATCTTTTGTATTATCAGCAAAACCTGATGCACGCATTGAGTAGCTGCAGAGCTTAGTGACATTTCTGAGCAAGGGGTGATAACTGGGAACATTTGGTTTTCAAACAAGCCAGAAATGTAGTCTGAACTTAGCAGCCAGTTCTTCTCTTTGACTTTTGTTGTTGTTGTTTGGTAGGTATTCTGCTCTTTTGCAGGATTTCAGTTGTGTGGGGATGTTGGGCAGCTCGTAGCTGGATGTCGTGCCCGAAAGCTGTGTGCTGTTCTTGCAGAGATCAGTGTGTTGAGCACTGTTTGTTATATGGCACAAAGCGCTCGTCCAATTTTGGCCATCGTGCTTTGGGTTGCAAGAAATCTTCAGACTCAGGCTGAGGGAGCTGTGTTCCTTGCAGAGTGCTGCTTTTGGGGACGGGCTGCAGAGCTTAAGTCCGATGCAGTCAAGAGCTGTGTTAGTCTGCATGTGGAAAATAGTTATCTTTTGTTCTAAAGGCAAGATTGGGATAACTGGGCAATTTTGATCAGTAGCATATGCAAAGCGGGAAAGAGTTATTTTACAGCACGGATCCGTCTTGTCGCTCTTAGGCATTGCTTTTTTTCAAATATTTTGGAGAATTTCTGCTCGTGTAAGAGCATCTTCTGACCGGGCTGTGGTTCAAGGCTGGCTGCCGCGGTGGGGGCTAGGCGAGGAGACGAGCGGTCCTGCCTTGCCTGGGCAGCTGTGGGGTGCTCCCCTCCTCCTGCACTGAATCGCCCTTCTGTCCCCAGCCTCCCGAGCCAGATGTCACTTTGCACATAAATCCTCAGTTTATTGTTGGCTGTCGCCGGGTTTGGCCGCAGCAAAGCGTGCGACGAGGACTTTGCTGCTAATGGTGGCAGCGCCGCTAAGTGCAGCGGGTCCTGCAGGCGATGCTGGAAGAAAGCACGGGGAGAAAAATGTTTCCTTTAAAAAAAAACCCAAAACAACCTCCACCATTCTCAGACTAGAGACTAAAGTGAAGATTTCTGGTGGTTTCCTTGGAACTGTATTTGTCCTCCTTAGAAAAAAAAAAAAAAAGAGGGCTTTGCTCTTCCTGTGGTTGAGAAGTCTTTTGCCTGGATGCTGACAAACGCTGCAACTGTCTTCATCTTGGAGCACATTTCTATCCCTGTGTGTTCCTCATCAAATCCGTGCACGGAGGCATTTTTTAAAACCCTAAGTTCTTTACCAAGTCAGACGTGGAGTTGCAATGGCAAGCTGCGACCTGCCTGATGTGTAACCCTTGGTCCTTGTGAAGAGCCTGCCTGGGTCGATCGCATCGCCTCAGACGTGCTTCTACATCTGACCTGCACAATTTAATTAAATTTTTTTTTTTTTACTTCTTTTATTTTGCATTTGCGGCTAATTATTTGTCAGTGAGAGGATCACCACTTTATATGCTGTCTTGAGGAAGTGCCACGCACTTGGAGAGATGAGCCTGCAAGTCGAGCTTGTAGCAGTTTGGCAGACCTGAAGTTGCTGATGGGTTAAGGATCAGGTCCACGGTGACCACGTTACGTTGTAGGGGTTGTGCATCCTCTGGTCTTACTAGGTGACACTCCTGCAGGCTGTGGAAATAGAACCTACTGAAGCATCATCATTTAGAGATGTACCAAGTGTCCCTTGCTCTGACTGGGTAGCTCTGACTGATAAAATTTACAGCCTTCTCCCATTTCCCTTAATTTCTCAGCATTCATTGTAACAGAGTATTTTGTGTGGAGTTCACAAATAGATTGGTAGATGCATTGGATTTTGTGATCGGACCCGAGACTTCATAGCCTTTCGTTTTTTTTTTTTTTTTTTTTTGGCTATGTGACTTATGATTATATCTCGTATCTTCTAGTCCTTTCCAAAACCTTTTTATAGTACTTCTGGGCTGAAGTGCTTCAAGACAATTACCATTAAAATTAATGTTGTGGGAATCTGAGTGTGTTAATTGTCCACACTTTTTTCTGGGAAATGGAAATTAGGGGAATATAGCCCCAAAACATTAGGAAACGGGGCCCATAGGCTTGACTGTATTCCATATAAAAATATTATTAATTGGACCTTTGCATCACTTTTTTTGTATGAGCTGCAATAGTTGAAAGATGCCTAAGCAAATAAAAAATAAGGTTTGGTTGAACTAGAGTGCATGTGTCTGTAACACTTTGTATGAGCTTTATAGTGAGTGTAAAAACCTCATCTTAAAGTGGAAGCAGTACAATGTAAGAACCGCTCAGATATGCGAGAGTGACTGCCGTTTTGCCTCTGATATGGCATTTCGATGTGCGGACCATTGCAAAGGTCTCGACCCAACCCTTCAGTATTTTTAGTTACTGCACTTGAACTTCAGCACATTTAATATTTTTTTAAATTTGCGTTTAGTATAAGCCAATTTTTTTGTGTAAGAAATAGCTGGCATCTTTTGCTGAACAATATTATTCTGAAGAGTGGTATAATTTCATTTTTTTATTGCTAGCCACAGCTGCTAATCAACTCTATGGGTTTTTTTTAAGCCACTAAATTAAAAACAAGAGTCAAAATGAAAACACAGTGTGGAGCTGCTGCATTTTTTTGTGAAATGCAGATGCTCTATGAAATTTTCGCTTACATAAATCATGCGTGCTCGACATTGCTGGCAAAACGGGACGGTTTAAAACCGTGGCTCGTGCACCTTGCAGCTGGTTCTCCACCTTTCATAGCTTGTCTTTCTGCAGCTGATCACTCCCATCTGTTTTGTTGTTGGTTTGGTTTTTTTTTCTTTTTATTGCTACAACAATGTCATTGAAACTACATTCTCTCGGCCCGTATCTCATACTTAAAATATTCTGCTGCGGATCGCTCTGAAACCAGAGCGGGATGCTGGCTCCCCGGGGAGGCAGCTGGGCAGCGCAGGAATTCAGATGTGAAGGAGATGAAAGTGCCTCGCTGCTCTGCGTTCCCCTCTCGGTTTTTCTGTGAATGACGAGCACCTCGGATGAAAGGCACCCTAACAGTAAAAATAGCTAATGCAGCAATAATAATAATAATAAATCATTCCATCAGATATTTTCCACTGCGCTGAGGAATTTTCCTTCTAACTGATGGAATTTATTTTTGGGTTTTTTTACAAACCAACGCTCCTAATTGGCACTGCTTGAGCAATGTGTTGGATGGGCTTCTGTCACCGTTGTTGCCATTTCAAAGACTCCTTGGCTGAAGAGCAGATTGCTGCGCTGCCAGACAATCTTTCTTTCATTTTTATGTGGCAATAGTTCTGTTTCTGCAAGTAATTTTTCCTCCTGGTTTTTCTTTTTGCTTCTTTGAGGACAATTGTTTCTCTGCATGCAATGCTTCTCAAACTGCTGCCAGCTTCCTGGCTGCAGCCAACGTTTTCAAAGGGTTTTGACATTTGTGCGGGGGTTTTTTTTGTGTGTGTGTGCCCACTGTGAGAGAGATGTCTGGGTTTCTGACTCATCTGATGGGGAATGCCAGCCATTTTCTGAAGAAATAAAAACGGGATCCAGGGCAAAGAGCTGGCCTGAGACTTCGCTTGGGACCTCTGATAAGAGCTTGTAGGATACGCTGGGTTTTCAGATACTCCCCATCCCGCTCCAAGTGCCACTGCAAAAACAGCTGGAACGTTTGTAGGTGACACCTGGTGCTTTTCCAGAATGTGTGGTGAGAGCAGCGATAGCAAGATTGTTCGTAAAAGCATGGAATGACCAGTTCTAGCCACTTTCTGAAAACAGGCTGAAATCACCCCAAAATGAGGGCATTAATTTGCCTCTACTGAATAGAGGTTACTTTATGTCCTTGAGCTACTCGGAGGAGAACAACAGATCCTTTGTGCTTCTCTGTGACCTTATTGGTGTGAGAAGTTTGGGAAGGAGCAGCAGAGCATGAGGAGGAGGAAGGATCTTCTGTCCTGCTGCCGCAAAAATGACGGTGTTGGGAAAGGAGCCTGAGCCAGCCTCACCATAACTGCAACATAGGCTTTTGCCCCAAATTTACTGATATTCTTTATTATGTTAGCATTTGAAAATATCTCCCAAAGCTTATGGGTCATTCCCGTGCAAAATCGGATTTTTGCTGCTGAGGACCCTGAGGTTGGCTTGCCGAAGAGGAGGTGACGGTGGCCACCTCGGAGGAGAAGCTGTTCCTTGGGTGCTGGCGCCTGAGCTGCGGTGGGACATGGGTGGGCACGGCCTGAAGCTGTCCCCGAGGCTGTCTCACGTCCCAACCGCGGTCGGGAGTGTTGGGTTCAATCCTGGACTTTAGTCCCGGCGGGCTTCAGCGCCAAAACCGGTGGTTAGAGGGTTCCCTCTGGCTTGCTGCCTGACCAAAGGGGAGAGCAACTCCTGCCCTCGCCCTGCCCTGAGCACCTTCCCGCACTTGGAGGGTTTTATGCAATAATAAATTAAAAGTGCCTGGGTGCAGACAAGCCTCTGCCGTGCAAGGCTGCTCCTGCCCGAGGCCTGTCCTGCACAAGGCGCCCGAAGCAGGCGTTTCTCCCTGCTAATGAGGCCCAGGGCTAATAACCAGCAGACTGTCAGGAATGTCCTGCTGTGCCAAGTAAAGCCTGCTTGGTTGCAATCGCCTGGCGTCCTATTTTTAGAGGTGAATGTAATCACGCTGTGCTTTCTCGCCGGCTTTGCTCGTCGTTTGCGTGCCTCTGCAATCTCTGGTGAAGCAGAGAGGAGGCAGGTTGCTCGAATTTGAGATTTGCTGGTAAACCTGATAGGATGGCACGTGGGTTCCCCAGGCTGTGCCTCCTGTGGAGCTCTGTGCGGACCAGCAGAAGTCATGGAGAGTGTGTTTGAACTTGCTCTCCTCCTGCCCCACCGTGGCTTTCCTGGTGGATTTTTGGCTCCCGGGACCAGACGGAGCAGTGGGGTGCATGTAAGGCGCTGAGTGGGAGCGACCTGCTGCGATGGTCTGGGAGGATGCTCGTGGGTTGAGGGGCCTGATCCCCACGTGGTGTGTGTCCATGCATTAGGGGTCTCAAAGGGAACAGGGCGCTCCCAGCCATGGGAACATGTGCTCTTTCCTTTTCCAGCCTTTCTGTGAGGGTTACTAGAGGAAGGAGAGGATTCAGGCAGCCAGCCAGGTTCACACAGACCCCCAAAGAGTGTCAAATTTGAGTCCTCGTTTCAGCCAGTGATCCAGGAGGGAGGATGTGATACACTTGATCTTGATCGTCCTGGTTGCCTGAAATGTGTTCTCCAAAGCACGTTTAAAATAAACAAGCAAACAAACAAAAAAAACAACCAAACTACTTTTCTTGGTCTTCCTGAAGTTGCTTAAGTGAATGTGGGTAACTTCTGCTCAGGATCTTCTGTAGGTTTTGTCTTTATGACAAGTCACTTCGATGAAGCAAGGTATTTTGTGGATTTCAGAGTATGAAAGATGGGGTAATCTTTTTCTCTTTCCCCAGATGGAGTTCATTGGAGTAAGCCAGCTGTCATTCATCCACGACCTGGGACCAAAGGGCATGTGAGTTGAGCTGTGTCTTTGTGAATTAGGATTCACCGAGAGCACGGCTTTATAAATAAATATTGTTCAAATGAATAACTTTCCTTTCTCGCCAGTAACTGACTGGGGAATATTTTCCCATCCGGATAGGAGAAATTATTAATGTTCAGACAGAAACGCTACAACTTTGGGGAATAATTTTGCGAGCGGGCTGCTTTGTGAGATGTGGGCTGCAGCTCACGGGCTGGCTTGCAGGGTTTCTCCCCTTCCCTCCCTGCAACCTGCAATCCCACTTGTTCTTCTGCTTGTGCTATAAAACAGGGCTCTGCATTTCTTAAATATGCATGATTTCCTTCTGGGGGGTTATTTTTGCTCTTCTTCCAGCTTTCAGGGCATGGTGCAGAGGCTGCTCAGGCACGTCTGGAGGTGGCAGGAGCCATCCCTGGGCACAGGGGCTGGGGGGTTCGGCAAGCATCCTCCACCTGAGAGCCCTCCTGCACCCCTGAGTGAGCCGTGCCACCCATCCTGACCGTGTTTCTGTCCTTGCAGAGAAGGGTTCATCATGAAGCGCTCCGGGGGCCACCGCATACCTGGCCTGAACTGCTGCGGCCAGGGAAGGATGTGCTACCGATGGTCCAAAAGGTACTGCTGGGGTGGGCGAAGGTGGTGATGCTTATGTGCTCCTCGGGCACGCGTACAAAAATCCTCATTCGTCTTTTTCTCCCCCAAACTCTGTGAGTGAGAGTCTTGCTTTTTTACAAAAGTCATGGATTTTTCAGGTCAAAACGGCCCCTAGGCTATTCCCCACCCCTCACCCTTCTGTGTGGAGGAGGGTGGGTTTTTTTCTTCTGCTTTGGAGTTCACAGAATGGACGTGTTGCTCCAGAGGAAAATTGGGATTTCCTACAGCCCTGAGCTGGCAGAAATGGGAATAATCGCCTGGTCCATGCCCAGTTTTCCCTGCTGCGGGAGCACCTGGGGGCTCCGTGCCTTTGGGAGGGGGACACGGTTAGTGACACTGCCCCAGCCAGATTTCAGCCTGGTTTTCTGAGTTTCCCTTCCTCAATTTACAAAAAGAAAGTCAACTAACTGAAACGCTATCTGGATTGCTTTGGAGCTGGATTAAATCAGACGTGACCTGCAGCAGTAAGGAGCTCTGTTTGCTGCAATTAACCTTGGAATTAAAGACGTCGCCCCTTCCTTATTACTGCACGTGCTTAAATGTCGGTGTTTTCATGGGAGTTTTCACAATCCACCCTGTTCCCATGTCCTTTCCTACTGCAGACAGACATAATTTACTGTCCTCATCCCTTTACCTTCTGTGTTAGATCTCGGCGTTTCCTGGGGCTGCAGCACAGCGAGGCATGTGCTGTGGAGGAATATGTGTGTTACCAGCTAGCGTCCAAAAAAACGCAAGGGGTATTTCCTGGAGCTTGCCCTTCCCAGGCAAATATTTCCTTTTGAAAAGGCAAATAGCACATATCTGCCTTAGAGCAACAATTTCTTGGTCTGTAAGAGCTTCCCCAAGCATTATCCACCTTTGGATTTTAGCATCGCTGATGGGCTGTCATTAGTTTTATCTTAAAAAATTCTGTTTTCCAACAAAATCTTTCTGCATTCTTGTGAAGAAAAGGTCCTATTTCTTCATAGTCTTTCCAACATTTCTTAATGTAATTTTACAGAGATCTCTATAATGAGTGCACGAGGAGATGAAGATGTGACCTTCTTTCAGGTCAAATCATTAAATTGTCTCCAATTCTTTTTTCTCTTTTATGGAAAAAAACCCCACTTTTTCCTCTGATAGCCCTCAGTTAACTCTTCCCTATGTTATGCAGAGCTCAAGCTTTAGTGGGGACAGTAGCACATACAGCTCTGATGGATCTCGATATTTCTTCAGAGCATAAAAAGGAGATGGGAGAAGCGTTTGAGTGGGATTGTGTGCAGGGTAACACAAGAGGGGCACCAAATTCACGCCACGGCCTGCTGGGACTGACAGAGTGTGCATCAAGAAATAAGCAAACAACAGTAACATTTCCCAGAGAAGGTTATTTAAGTGAAGGATTTTAGGACATGTCAAGCTGGGGGCAGAGCTCCCCCCAAAGCATGGGGCAGACCGCGGCCAGCCTTTTCCCACAACAGCTTTGCTGCAGGCGTTGGGTTTTCTATACCCCAAATTCAGTTTGGTTATTATAGGTTGTGTGTGTTATGGCCATGGGGGCTGTGGAAAGGGACGCGGAGGATGACAGCGGGGTGATGCTGTGAACAGGCATGGGCAGGACTTCTCGGGCATGCAGGGCTGCCTGGGAAAAACAGAACGGGGGACGCTTGGAAATGCACCCTGTGGGATGTTTGGGAGTGGAATTATGGGCCAAATAGGGAGGGAAGGTGTTTTGGCACCAAATGAGAGGTGATGCTGTGATAACTCTTTCAGGGCCCTTAAAGAAAAGAAAAAAATATGGGATCTGGAAGTAGATGAGGAGCTGAGGCTGTTACTAAAGATACAAGAACGAACAGATTTTTGCGGTATTTTCTGTTGCTTTGTGTGTTTCTTAGTGCGCAGAAGAATGCGGCGAAGGTCTGGTGGTAGAGACCTGTGTGGGACAGAGGGGGCCGGTTACCCCAGCTACGCTGCAGGGGGAGAAAAAATTAGAAATGCCATTCACTCTAAAAAAAATGTGGTTTTTTCCCAGAGTTGCCTTCAGGCTACGGTATTTATGTAAAACCTGCCGGTCATCTCTCCTCATGTGTTTCTAGCAGAGTGCCTGTTGCTTGGCAATAAAAGCTTTCCAAAATGCCTCGTTCATATATTTTGATGGGAGTGAAAGTGATCCTAAGATCGTAATTATGTTAGAAATGTCAAGTTAACTCCCATATAGCATACAAGCTGAATAAAAACCTGGGGTGGAGGAATCCTTGTTGCACCTTGCCCGGTGCTGGGGCACCTGGCTGGGAGGTTTGTGGGCAGGGAGGTTCTCATTGGTTTTGTTAGACAAGGAAACCTGTATTTCCAAAGACTTCTGTAAAAAGGAGTCATGCAAATAACTCTAAAAGTCTTATACTGAATTCAGACTCATTACCCAAGTTCATAAAATAGGCACTTTTCTGCTCAAGAAAACCATACCCTGGACTAGCCCCTGAAGAGAAATTTTGCCATTTAGTTGAACGCTTTCCTTTTCCTGATAAATGATTTGCACTTGTTTTGAAGGAAGCACTTTTCCATTTTATTAATTTTTTTGATGGCTCATGTTTTGAAGACTGGCATGGGAGAAACAGGAGTTACCTGCTTGCTGTGCCCGTACAGGTGGCTGGTGGTGAAGGACTCTTTCCTGCTCTACATGAAGCCAGACTCAGGGGCCATTGCCTTTGTCCTGCTGGTAGATAAGGAATTCAACATCAAGATAGGCCAGAAAGAAACAGAAACTAAATACGGGTTGCAGATCGACAATCTCTCTAGGTAAGAAATACAGACTTTTATTTTGACCCTTTTTAGTTGGCTTTTGGGCTGGCGCAGCCTCCCGCAGGGCTCAGCGCTGGGCTGCTGCTGGTGTGTTTATACCTGCTGGGGATTTGGCCTGTAATGCTGATCAATTCCAATGTCTTAATGAGGCATTTGGGAGCCTCAGCTGCTGTTTGTCCATCCTTGTGGTTATTGCTCGGGCCTGGGGGCACGGTGCACGTTGAGTTGCACGGTCTCTTTTTGCAGCAATTGCTTACGGTAATTTTCTAGGCACTTTGTTCCTTTATGCTGCAAGCAGAGACGTGTCCTACATCCCAACCAGCATATTACCCGAAAGACATGCTAGATGGGATAAAGAGATATTTAATATTTTTATGGTAGCATACAGTATAAGTTCATCTTTTAAAAAAAATACAGTATTAGCTAGGTCCAACTCCCCTCTGAGTTAAGGTGATGCTATTAATTTAAATCTGGGTGTTTATTTTTTTTTTTTTAACGCTTGGCAGTGCAACACTGTGGTAGTCAGTCAGAGCAGCTCAGTGCTGACGTATTCATTTGCAAACAAAACAGCAAAGCACCGTGCTTACTTTTTGCTCAAATAAAATGACCGATACAGGTATGGTTATCAGCGCGTATAGACAGCGAGGAGCAGCCCAATTAAATGCACATGGCTTCAGCATCCCGCCCCACACGCCGTCTGTTTTACAGGTCGCTGATTTTGAAGTGCAACAGCTACAGACATGCCCAGTGGTGGAGGCAGGGCATAGACGAGTTCATTCGGAAACACGGCAAGGACTTCCTCACGGAGCACCGCTTCGGGTCCTACGCAGCCGTGCAGGAGAACACGCTGGCCAAGTGGTGAGGACCGCGGCGAGACTGCCACCGACTCATGGTCCCTTGGGTGCCGCGACCTGCCCCGGCTCTGATGGATAGAGCTGGTAGCGGTCGGTAGCTGTAGGGACTGACGATAATTAGGGAAGTTGCAAAAAATGAGGCTTTCTTCACCGGGAAAGGAATAGCTGTACTGGTGACAGGAGTGCTTTGATCCTGTTATGGCTTTGCATCGCAGCTAATAGCATCAAGTTTCTCTGAATTCGAACACGTTGGGTATTATTGTAAGGTTAAAAATGGTATCTTGATGCACGTGTAGTTGGCAGGATGCTTATGAGTTAAAACCAGTACTGCTCTTTCATTAAGATATTCCTGGCTTCAATTTTATCCAGTTTCTGATTTTGGAAATGCTGTTCCCTTAGGGTTTAGATCTTTGGGCTCTGGGTTATAAGCTCACGGTAACGTAGGTGCTATTGAAAACGTTTGCCTCTTTGGCTACTCCCTTCTCCATAGTTCCCTCCCAAAGCAGCTGTGCTGCAGCCTGTCCTGCCCATGCTCCTTTGCAGCCAATGGTCTGGTCATGTCCTTCATGTTCTGAAATGCAAGATATGTCCTGCTCATTACATTTGCAAGGCTGATTCTCATCCCATAAGCACAGCATTGCCCTTCCAGGCACCACGGATGTGTTCAGGTGCAAATGTCACTCATTGGGTTGAAGAGCAGCATCAGATTCAGGCCTTGCAGATTGGCTTTGCAATGAAAGAGAATCAGCAAATGCAAATTCCAGTGTAGTCTGAGGGTGCCTGGGCTTTATGCGCACAGCAGTCCCATGAGAAATCCTCCTGTCTGTAGCGTAACCTAATTGCACTAAGCCATTCCCAGAAGCACCTCAAAAAATTGATTCTAGCTGGAAGCAAACCCTCACAGTGCTCTCACTGCAGCTTCTGCCTTGCAGCAACCACTGCCCAAATAGTTTCTGTAAATCAAAGCAAACACCACTCCGCCATCCTTTCCTGAGAGCCAAACCTAGCTCACATGTCGGGCAAAACCCAAGAATATTGCGTGCAGTTGGCAGAAGTACCAAGTGGCACTTAATAATCTCTTATTGTGCTGTTTCATTAAGCTACTAATAGCAGTGTGAAATTCTCCCTGCAGTGTTGTCCCAATTCTTGAAATTCTTTTGAGAAGAGAGCGTAAATGGCATTAACACAGAACCCTGTTGGTCTTCAGCTATGGACTTTGTTTAACGAAGGGGAAGGAAACCTAAATCTATGCGCTGTGTTTGCTTTTACAGGTATGTAAATGCTAAATGGTACTTTGAAGATGTCGCAAATGCCATGGAAGCTGCTAAGGAAGAAATTTTCATCACAGATTGGTGGTTCGTACTTCCGTATTTGGATGTTGACCAGCTATCTCTCTTGGGACGTTCCCGACAATGCGGCACTGTTCGGAGGCCCTACAGTATGGCAGCTAGCCGTGCAGCCAGATGGTTTGGCAGCACACCCAAACATCTCCTTGTGTTGTATTCAAAGGCCTTTTCAGGAGGGTTGGCAGCAAAAGCGCATGCTTGAAATCAACAGCTTGGTTGTCTCCTTCCAAGGAAAGGCCTGCAATTGCAGGAAGACACCACCTGAATTGCAAGTGTTATGGCTTGAGGTGCTCATCAAGAGTGTAAATGGCTGCAGACCTGAGGAGCACGAATGTCTTTCAGTGTGTAAGGGAACGTGGATGCTCAACCACCTCCGACAGTGCTCTTCCCATAGGATCCTGCATGGGATCCTCCTTTCAGCTCCTCCTCGGTGTCTTGGGAAGCCTCATGCCATCAATGAGAGCATTTCTGGGGGGGGGGGGATTTTGCTCTGCTCTTAAATGGGCCAGACAACGGAGGGGAAGTTTTGTCACCCCTTCCGAGCTGCCTGGCTGCCGATGGACCTGGCTCTGCCCACTTCTTAACTAGTAATTCAGCATGTTTATGCAGTGCCCTGGTTCCTGTTTGAGGCAGAAGAAGGGTGCTCTTGTAGACTCGGGGCAGAGTTACTTGGCTGGATGCCGGTTGTGGCTGCCTGTGTCTTGCCTTTGCGGAGGTTAATCTGGCTGAACCAGCCTGGACCTTGGGGATGGAATGGTAGGGCAGGGTCCCAAGCCACAGCTCAGGTGTCTTCTTTAACGTTGGGCACATCTCTGTGCTCCTCTTTCTCCAGCGGTTAAAATGAACCTACTAATCCACTGCCCATAGGAACTGGGAGGATTCTTGGGTGGCAATTATTATGAGAAAACTAAATAGGGTGTTAGCATTTCCTGGGGTAAACCTGTTTCCTTACAGGACCGCAGATAATGAACATGGTTTAGTGGGCATGGTTGATGGTTGGACTCGATGATCTTGAAGGTCTTTTCCAACCTAAATGATTCTATGATTCTGTAAACCCAATGCTCCTGGATCCCCATGCGCGACATCAGGTAGCAATGCAAGAGCATCGCATTTCAAACCCGTTGCCTCTTACTTGATGTTTTATTCAGGCAGTTGTTAATGTATCTTGGAATTCCAAAACTTACCTGAAACTTGGAGTTTAAGATAGAAATGCTGTTGTCAGAAGCATGTTTTTTAGGATGTAGCAATATGCTTTATCCAACCACAAGTTCCCATGTTCGGTACAAAAGTAAAGGAAGGAAATTCTGTCACTTTGCTTTGCAGGAGTTAGATGAGATTGTTTAATTATTCCTTGTAATCCTTAAAGCTATGAATCAATAAAATGTCCTGTTGAGAGACCATATTGCATTGTATTTAAGCAGCAAGGAAAATTCAGCACAAGTCTATGCTACTCAGCCTAAGTACCAGGAGAACTGAAATCTCACTCTTATTTATTTTTTATGTCTACAGATTTCTTTCAAATCTACCTTGGGGTTTTCTTTTGTTGCATCTTTCTTTCATAGATAGAGTCCAAGTTTTCCCATTTATACATGACTGTTAAGCTTGGTCTCACGGGCTGTTGAATATGAAGATGAATGTGCTGGACACGTCCCCTGCCCTCTGTAATGTTCTGTTATTAAAAAACAAAGAGCGTGGTGTTGGAGAATGCATCACTCTGGGACATGAGTCTTCACATCCACTTTATACAAACTTTGATTTCTTTGCTTCCCAAGTTGATTATTGAGGCCAGTGCTTTGTTTTGCAGACTACGTATGCTGTGTTTTTTCCACTCCTTTATTTTCTTAGGCTGAGCCCAGAAATCTTCATGAAACGACCCGTTGTGGAAGGAAATCGCTGGCGGCTGGACTGCATCCTCAAGCGGAAGGCAGTAAGTGAGCTCCAGCTGCAACCTTCACCCTGCCGAAAACCCCGTGCGCCCACCCAGTTGCAGGGTCATACTGGGACTGGAGCGTTTGCACCGTTTATTTTGTTAGGGATGAGAGGTAAAGCTGGCCAAGCCTCACATGTAATTTAGAGGTACGGGAAAGACTAAGCACTTCGTGGTGGCTCTCGGTAGGTGGTTTGTGCACGACTCTGTCGTGCGGATCCTACCTGTCATTGCTATGTGTTGTGTGTCTGTGCTGCAGCTTGAGGAGCTGAAACTGTGAAAGATACCGTCAGTCTGCCAAGAAAATCAGGATGTCGTTAGCAAAAAGTCACTTGGTGGCGTCCAGAGGTTCACGCTATCTCACGATAGCCTTCTCATTGTGTTTTCCATACTTGATACATTGCATAGGTCCTTGCTACAACTAAACACCAAGGAACTGATTGTTGCTGTTCACCCACCATTCCTTGCTGTTGTAAAGAAGTGCCTGTTGACATTAAGCTTCATCCCAGTGTCTCCCAGCCCCATTACCCCAGTTGGACCCCCTCTTGCCTTTGTCCTGCCCGGGCCATGCTGCCAAAAGCTCTTCATGCCATAGCTCTTTCACAGCTGCTACCATTGGTAATAATAAATTTTAGTGGAGCATATAAGAAAGGCCAAAGCCTGAAAAGTTTTTGTGTTTTCTGATTATTATTTCCAAGGATAACTTACATGGTTAGAAAAGGCTTTATTTTGTTGGTAGCTGGCTCTCACCACTTATATGTCTCCTGGTTTTCTTTGTTCCTACCCACGCCTTTCTGTATTTTGCTGGCTCTTGTGGCCACTAAGACGAGGCAGATCAGCTGTGTCCTCCCTGCCTGTCCCTTCTCGGGTAGAGACTCTGGTCATGAGGGTCCTGGTGTATTGATGTGGGGAAAAGGGCTTCAGCAAAGCGTGAAAAAAAAAACCACAAACCAGTGTACAAGCACAAGCAGCATCACGTTCCCCAGAGCTGGATTGTGGTGTTCAGCTTGTTTACAAGGGGGTGATAAACATGAGTCAGAGGCTTGGACTCCGATCTGCATTGCCATGTTATCCAAGTTGTTAAATGCTCATGTTCAGTAAGCAAATGCTTGTATAAACTTGATAAGGCTTTTTTCCTTCTGTTTTAATTTCTCCTTCTCTGCTGTTCCTCCTGAACAGAAAAGCTCAGACCTGCTGTTGACCTGGTGCCTTTCCTGGCATCTCCCGGTCAGGATTCCCATGCAAAGCTCTGTGCTGTTGCACGCTCTCCTTTCTTGTGCAGCACTTTGAGAGACGAGCAAGCAACTGCAACTATTAGCTCTGTTTCTCTTTTCTTTAAGCGTTTTCATCTCAGACAACAGTTTATTTTGCTGCTGGTTGTACTCTGCTTTCCAATAACACACCTGGCTCCAGACTATAGAGAACGTGTTTCATGGAGCCAAGCGAGGCAGACAGAGAAGCTGAGTGTGAGGTGTTTGTGAGCGTGGGTTGTACTTTGGTTGTTCTCCCAACCTGCGATAACACCAGTGCTAGAAATGGTCGCTTGTCCCATGTGAGCAGTGAGTCAGGAAGGGAAGCGTGGCCGGGGAAGTCCCTTGAACTCTTGGTGTGATAGAAGGGCAGGAGTCCAGGTGGACATGCTGAAATAGTCTTTGACTCCTTCCCCTTCCAAACCAGTTGTCGTCACAGTCCTCACCCCTCCACATGTGGCCACAGGGCATGCTTACTGGATGGAAGAATTTGGCTTTGTTGTGTTGACATGGATTTTCCTATGGCTGTAAATACCTTGTAAGAGTGAGGAGTGTCTTAAGGTTAGTTCCTGGAAATACTTGCCTGCTCTTTTGCTTGTGGCGTTTCTTTGGCATGACAGGGTTGTCAGCAAGCTGGTGTCTAGATACAGGGGTAAGGCTGTCCTTTATTTATGTACAGTGCTGCCTTGGACTTCTCTGGGTGCAGCGGAGAGCAGAATATCATCCACAATTTGGAGACTGCCTAAGCTCTCAGTAGCAGCTTTACAGGAATAGGAACTTAAAAAGTTGTGGAAAGTTTGGGTCCCAAGTTTAAGCCGCAAGCTCCACTGCAAGAAGTTAAACCATGATGATTTATGGCAACTGAAGGTGTCCCTGTGCGTGACCAGCATCTGCCGGGGTTTGGGAAGTACTTGGCAGTTTTGAAAGTGCTTTAATAAGTGTCCTTAGAAACCCTCCTGTGGATACCACTCTGGTCACAAAAAGCACCATCTCCTTGAGCACCTCTCATTGTTTTCCAGGAGCTTGTTTAGCTCTACCAGCAGAAAGAACTTCTTTGCTGGTGTTGAGTTGGTTGCATCTCCTTGAGGAGAGGGATATCCGTATGACCGCACTGGTATCGTTGTCCTGCAGAGGCTTTTAACTGTAGGCAAACCTCAGGGCAACACGAAGCAGCGGAAAACTGAAGTTCAGTGGATGCGTGCAACACCATTGTATGTGGAGTGAATCACGTTTGCAAAATCTTACCTCAAAGGATGTTTAAAAGGGGCTACTGTAAGAATAACCTGTTGATGGGCTTTGGGGTAGCTCAGCTCTTCACACGTGAATCCAGGTACTGAGCCTTCCTCTGGAAGCTGAAGAGCTTTCCTGAGCAGTGCTGTGAGGTCACTGTGGTGGATCTGGAAGAGCGGAGTCAAGAACAAGTAACCTTAGCCTGCGTTTCTGTCTGCAGGCACAACATGCTTACTGCCTACTAGCTTTTCCTCGCTTCGGAAATGGACCATATCCATTGACATACCTGCATACCTTGTGTTTCTTTCTATTTCTGACAGCAACAAGGAGTGAGAATTTTTGTTATGCTGTACAAAGAGGTGGAGCTTGCCCTAGGGATCAACAGTGAATACAGCAAGCGGACGCTCATGCACCTCCATCCAAACATTAAGGTAATTGCACATTGGGCAGGTGTATGAAGGACATTTGCATTCATTTGTCTTGATAGCTAGTGCTGACCCTCCGTGTATTTGGGTGTGAGCCAGAAGAAGACCGTTTCCCACCATTGCAGTGGGAATAGTCTGAGAAGACATACCCATACAGTGATTACCACATCTGGCAACTTCATTTCTTTAGGTTATAATTGAACATAAAATTGCTTAGTTTAGACTTGCCAAAGCAACTATTCATCTAATTCACAAGAAACATATTTCACGTGACGAGTTAATGGGGTGACATCAAATGGAAAATTACAACTTGAGAATGTCTCATTTCAGCATTTCTGTTCATATATAGACGATGAGAGTCAACACTGGATATTTACATTCCCATTGTAAATGAACAGCATTGCTCTGTCCTGTGCTGTTGCGCTGCTGCTCTACCACTGAGCAGAGAATGAGCTGTGGCAAACGAACCAGTAGACAAGGCTAGATCCAGTCTCCTGAAATTAGAGACGTATATATTTTAACGAGCAATAAGATATATGTTATGTGTAAGGGTGGCTAACAGGCTGCTAGAATAATAGATTTATTGTCACTTGATCAGTTGTCATGGTGAAGGGAAGCATCCATTCACCATCATCTTCACAGCAAGGCTGGAAGGCATAACTGGAAGATATGTGCTAGCTGTGTAACAGGTTTTGGGAGCAGCCAGGTGAAACTCTGTAGCTTTTCCCCCCGGCAGCTGGTCTAATGGCTATCCTCTAGAATTAAAAAATAAAACTATATACTGTATGCCTAGATACAGAAATTACCTTGCCATAAACATGTCAAAAAGAATCTCATAAACAAATGCCAAACAACTTGCTGATTTTAAATGGGGAAAAAAAACCAGCCAACTTCTCATCCCACTTATGTAGCGGCAACAACCAAAGAAGTGAGTCAGATCACCAATATGTTGTTTTCTCTTAGAGCAGGCTCTGCGTTTGAAAGCTCAGCTATTATAGCTCTACTGAAAAAGTGATTTTATTTGTCGAAACAGTTTTCCTTGACTGTGGTCCTCTTCTGAACTCTGTTGTTTTGAGCGTGACCTATCCCAACATCAGTAACCATTCCTGCTCGGGAATACCCCCATCGTGGAGAAGCACCCGCCTGCCCGTAAGGCTCAGCCCAACTCAGGGGCGGTCACATAGCTTCTGTAACTACAGTAGTCTGTGCGGAGGCATCTTCTAAAAACTCCAGTGTTTCCCCATCATCCTGAGCAGCCAAAAAACCCCCGCTGGGCAGCCCTCTGCCTGGAGGGATGTAAACCAGGCAATGATGCTGAGCTTGAGTGCTGGTTTTCTCTCCAGGTGATGAGACACCCGGACCACGTGTCCTCCTCCGTGTACCTCTGGGCCCACCACGAGAAACTCGTCATCGTTGACCAGTCCGTGGCATTTGTGGGCGGCATCGACTTGGCGTATGGCAGGTGGGATGACGATGAGCATCGCCTGACCGACGTGGGCAGCGTCAAACGAATGGCAGCAGTGAAATCGGTGTCGACAACCAACCTGGCAGTAAGTGAGCTTGCTCCAGCAGTTGGCCGCATTCAACATCTGCATGTCAGGTTTGCGGTGGGGATGAACAAGTGGTGTCCGCTTCTAAGCGTAGGGTTGGCTTTAGGAGGTTTGAAGAGGAATAGTAATGAGAAGGAGGAAGTGTGTGAGCATCATATGACTCTTTAGGGCTAGATCCTGACCAGCCCTTGCTAGGGCATGGAGATAGCTGGGTTTCCCCTGGAGCTTGGAGCAGCAGTTGCAATTTGGAGGCTACGTTCTTAATAAAACTTAGCTAGAAATGCACAGTAGGCACTTGCAGAGTGCTCCGATCTTCTGGATACTCGAGCCCTCAGCAGATGCCTGCCTTGCTGAGCTTTCTGCTAACCTGGGTCTGTATGCATCTAGAGATCTCTAAAAAATTTAAAGAGGTCTAAATTGACGAGAATTTCAAGGGGAGTAATAATCCAGGGTAGAGTTATGGGACTGCAGAAGGTACTGCTAGCATTAATGGTTTTTTCTGTCAAGTGCCTCCTCGGTACAGACTGTCTCCCTCAAAAGCATTCGTAGTTCCTACTGAAGTGTGTCTTTGTCACAGGGCAAGGTTTGGCTCGTGGTTGTTTCTGAGCATTGATACGCACAATAATCTGTAATTGAAGGGGAACCTGTCTGTACATGGCCTGCAGCAACGTCCTGTGTCTTTTAAGTCTGCAGCGGAGTTGTCTGAATGTGTCCCCCTGCAGTCTGAAGCTCTGGCCCCAGAAAGCCACTTGTTCCAGAGAAATGCTGATGATGTTCCAGACACATCAAAAATGAAAGGAGTAGGAAAACCCAAAAAGTTTTCAAGGTTCAGTATTTACAAGCATCTCCATAAACACGGCATGCACCATGCTGACAGCGTCAGCAGCATAGACAGTGAATCAAGTAAGTAGTGCTTTTCAACTAAACAACATATATAAAGCATGTGTGGAGGTGGGTGGGTGGGCGTACGTGCAGATTCACGTAATTTCTAGGGTAATGTTCTTTGTAAGGAAGGAAAGTTGATGAATTTCTTAACTATCAGAATAATAACTACGTGTAGTCAATATATAAATTTGTGTCACTGCAAAATAGACAAGAAAAGTTTTAAGTGGATTTGCATTTAGTTAATTAGCAATTGTCACGAGCCACTAGATGATGTGATGTAGTGTACATGATGTCTAATGTTTCTGTTGTTGGAAAATTTTTGTTCCTGCAAGGGAGAATTGAATCTTTCATTTTCAACTTGTATTTATTATAACAAGGAAAACAGTTTCTGAATGTGATTATCCCCTCTCATAGGCTAGTGTTACCTGGGTTTGAATCAGTTCGCTCAGATGGAAAGATTCCCAATTTACTCACTTACTAGAGAGGAGAGACCATTCAACAGTTGAATATTTGACTGCAGCTTTTAATTCCCCACATTAAAAACAGCTTCCAAGCTAAAATTACAAGGATTGGCTTGACATTTATTCTAGCATGGAGTCCTTCCTGAAATCTGTTCCTGAAGTCCGCAGCTCCTGAAGCCGTATATTGTTCGCGATGGGAACTTATTCGAGTTTCCATCACTCCCTGCAGATCTTACTCTGCCTCTGGCCGGAGGAAGCCTTGCTGGAGCATAGTTTGGCTTGGTTGCAGTCAGCTCAGGACATAGCCATGGCTTTGCTACTTCAAGATATCTGTTCGGTTTAAAACCGGCGGGGTCTTGGATTTGGTCCTTTGCCTGTTGGTCACTTGTAATTTCAGCAAATTGACATCTCTTTTGAGATCCTGTCATGCAAGGTGTCTTCAGACAGGATCAGGCACCAGCGTAGCAAAAGCAGATGTATGTTTTTGCCATGAATAGAGCATCTTGACTTTCTGCAGGTTACTGTAACCCCACTAGAAGTCAACCGAATATAATCCAGAGTTTAAAGCCCCATCTGAAAATGTTCCATCACCACACAGAATCCAAACAGGGGCTCGCTGAGCCTCAGGAGGGTAAGTGGAGGAAGGCAGAGGTGCAGACTTTAGCTGCTGATGTTTTTGCGTTGTAATGATGGTGAGAGTTAGGTTGGGTGCCAGGATCAGCCTTCGCTGCTTGTTGTTCTCCCAGCATCCTTCGTACCCCTCTGAGGACATCCTGGCAGAAGAGCCTTCTCCAGAAGCTTCAAAAACTGCAGCATAAATAAACAAACATACCCCCCCCCCCCCCAAAAAAAAACCCCCAAAACCCTGACAACAAAGTAACCCGCAACAACAACAACAAAACACCGAAGAAATTTGCAATAACAACAGCAGGGAACAATTGGGGAAATAGCTCTGATTCTGTTATATGATTATTTCAGTAGTTCCCTTCCTGTAAAGGAAGGGGCTTGTTACTGCAATTGGGAACTTCTGCATTGGATATTTTAAAAGAAGCCTGATGCAGGAAGACAAATGCAAACAGAGAGAGGAACCAGCAAAGTGGCTGCTGCCAGACCTATGTTTGGATGAAGGCTTGGGGCGTCCCCCTTTTGCCCCTTATTAAAATCAGTGAGAGCATACTCGATTGAGAAAGGAGTTGGGTGGTTATGAGCACTGAGCTGTTCTGATCTCTGGACTGATGTTGAAAGGGCCTGTTTCAGTATGGTCCCTCACTGAGATGCCTTTGAGTTCTGGTATGGAGGGAGGAGCAGTTCTTCAACATCTTCCTCCAAGGCATTAATTGCCAGTTATGAAATATTGGTTACAAAGTAGTGGCAGGAAAAGATGCGTTTGCATCATGGAAATGAAGTGCAGTCTCCCATGTGGTCACCTCATGCTCACTCATGAGTCGGTGTGCAGTCATCGAAGCTCGGGACGTGAAGTGTGTTTTGGCTGGATGACGTGTCCCACCCATTCCCATTCGAGCATGCTGATTCAGCGATTCCCCAGCTCCACCTGGACTCTCACTTAGAAACTCAAGCTTCCCAAGGCAGCTCTGGTGCATACCTCCTGCATGACATTTTTGGCATGGCTTGGCTCTGCTCGGCTTGGTGGGGTTACAGCAGTGCTGGCAGGGCTTGCTTTGTGCAAACAGGTCTTGTTGCACTGCTGCCGATGGGTATTTTGGCTTTTGAAAGCAGTGGGGTGTGTGCTAAGGGGTTTTCATGGTTACCTGGTGATGTGGTTGGGTTAGGAGAAGACTTCTGCTGTTGGCATGTTACCGTGTGATTATCGCACTAGTATTTGGTACTGCAGGTGAAGGCTGCTCTCAGGGTCAGGAAGTAATGCTAGTTAAATGTTTATGGTCTAGGCCAATGGTTTTGGTTTTCTTAAGAGAGAGGAAAAAGAGTTCACTCCGCACCCAAAATAGGTGCTCTAGAAAAGCGATCCTGTTAGAGGGAATATCTCTGTCTACAATATTTTAGACCATTTTTAATCACTATCAATTTGGAAGTCAGGATCCATTTGTCGAACATGTAAAATCGTATCAAAAGATGACATGGTTATTTGAAAAAACAAAATCAAACAAACAAAACCCACAATACTTAATGAGGGAATATGAGCTTTTTAATCATCTCGTTCTAGTTAATAAAGAGTAGCTTCTGTTAGAGGAGATACACCCTGCTATAGAGGCAAAATAATGAACCCTCTAGCAGAGAAGGTGAAATTAGTTCATTAGTATTGTAAAATACTAATATTAAGTAGATGATGTATGTGATGTTCCTGTACATACATCCACTAAGGTCAGTCGCAGCTGGGAGTGAACCCCACATGGTAATGTTTAGGTGTCATAGAACTGTGCAAAGGCAAATGATTATAGGGTGATATTTTTTTTTTTTAAGTACAGTGTAGAGAGAATTCAGCATCTGCTTTTTGTTTCCGTAACAGACTCTTATATATTACCTGCCCTGATTGTATAACAGATATTGAAATAGGGAATTAAAACTACTCATATGCATCGTTTGAAAGCAACAGGAAGACTAGGGAGAAAACAGCTCCGGTCTCGCCAGCAGTGTGCGATGGACAGCTGTGACTTCAGAGCGTGTGTTTTTGTTATCTTGTTTGCCTGTGACAGATAAAGGATCCATCCGCAGCTTGAAGACGGGTGTTGGCGAGCTGCTTGGGGAAACCAGGTTTTGGCACGGAAAAGACTATTGCAACTTCGTCTTTAAAGACTGGGTTCAACTTGACAAACCTTTTGCTGGTAAGTGCCTTTGCACCCTGGAAGTCATTACATTCCCCCAAACCTTCTTCTGCATCTTTTCAGTCTCAAACCATATTTTTTCCTGCTTCTGAGCCAGAGGTTATGAGGCTGGTTTTGTTTGGCTGCTAGGAAGAAGCAGCAAAACTCCCTCTGAGAGGTTCTAGGGCCAATTAATGCCATTACGATCCATGGACTTGGGCTGCGGGCTATTGCATGATAATTCACCTGCACAGCCCTCGGTGCTGTGTCCCAGAAACTTCAGTTTGAGAAGGGGCATACCGTGCTTTTCCACGTTCATGTCCTTTGCCTGAGGAGGTCCAAATGTGCTTTCCTGTTCCGTAGACTTCATTGACAGATACACCACCCCGAGGATGCCCTGGCATGACATCTCGTCCGTGGTGCACGGCAAAGCGGCCCGTGATGTCGCCCGACACTTCATCCAGCGCTGGAACTTCACCAAGGTGGGGTATGGGCATTGCTGCCGGGGGCACGGAAATAAATACAGCCCCTGCCTCATCCACGTGCCCTCCATAGGTGTGCATTTTATTTTTTTTATATGTTATTCTGCTATGTTGCAATCTCTTCAAGTACTTTTTTTTTTTTTTTTTTTCCTCCTGGGCAGATTATGAAGCCCAAATACCGGTCCCTGTCCTACCCATTCCTGTTGCCAAAATCTCAGCAAACTGCTAACGAGTTGAAGTATCAGGTGCCTGAGTCTGTTAATGCCACAGTCCAGGTGAGTGTTCGTGGTCTCCAGCTCACCTACTCCTTATAGAGCTTGTTTTGGATCTTTCCCGCGGGAAGTGTCGATGCCTGACAGACCCTCTGCAGAACTTGAAAATATAAAATGAAAAACTCTTGTTGAATTTAACTCACAGCGTAGGTGGTCAGGTCCTCAATTACAATAAAATAATGCAACTCTTGCAGTAGAGATAATTTATACCTCCACCTCTGAGATAAGAGGACCGAGCTGTATGCAGTACTCACGTTGTGGGAACACCATGACTTTGTATAGCTGTGTAATTTTCTATTTTGTTTTCTGCTGCTTTTCTTCGAATCCCTAACATTTGGGGTTTATGTTTTGGGCAGGCCTGATGGGTTGAGGCTGCCCACTGAGTATTTATCCCAGATCTTAGAGCAGTCTACCAGGCCCCCGACGCCTCGTTCAGACGGGTAGTGGTCAGCTAGAGCCCAGCATTAAGTGGAGGCTTGGGGCTGTTGCTTTCTGCATTGAATTTCATCTGCATTTTATTATGCAGCTGCTCAGCCCTGTGGGTCCTCTGCAGTTCTGCACAGTCAGCCCACAGTCTTGTTTGTGACAATCATCCTCAGTCATAATTGCCAAGATACCGATATTTAAAAACCTGGTTAGCTATATTGAGCGTGTATATTGAATACTACTGTTACCCAGCAGAAACGTGGACTTGTTGAAGAACACAAAGTCAAAATAGTTATGCTGAAGCAGCAAAACAGTTGTGCGTCTCTGTGGATGAAAGATGTACGAAATAAGAGCAATTAGACCAAAACCAGGGAAAAATGCATGCCTTTGCTCTTCATAAGGAGTGGTCCACCCAGATGACAGCACCGCTTGGGGAAGCTTAGTGTAACGAGATGCATTTTTATGGGTTTGTGGGTTGCCAGGGCATTGTCTGCTCCTCCCCGCGCAGTGTGAGGGATGGCCAGCACAGGGATCTTGTGTCATGGGTCTCGGGCGTTTTACATCAGCCTCCAAAACAATGCTCGCAGCTTGTTGAGAAATAGTCTTGCTTCGGGCATCATCATGTTTCCCCAGCTGCGTTCGTGACCCCAGCTTTTTGGGAAATTTTGTTCTTGTGGAAGTGAGGGGGCTTGTGTCCCCTGAGTGCGCTCTAACCGCAAAATAAGCCTCAACTTCTAAATCGTGGCGTTTGCTATAGCAAAAAGTTAAGCTCTACTGATTACAGAACTGGAAGCGGTTCCCAAAGGAGAAACTAAACTGAGCACAGCCTAGGTCCGACTTTCCCTCGGTCCGTACTGCAGAGCTGCTGGCTCAGGGCATCAGCCCGTGGGAGAGGAGGATGAAGCTCAAATGGTGACTGCTAAATGCCACATACACCAATGCTGAGCGATGGGTGAGCTGTTTGAAAACTAGCCTTGTCACAACATTGTTGGGGCATTGCAAATAACTGATACATTCCAGGAAATGAGGGGCTATTCTCAGCAATGCCATAAACAGCGAAAAGAAAGCAGGTTTGTCTTGTAAATTATTCATTTGAAACTACCTTGCTCATTTCTAATTTATGTCAAATTGCAGCTTTTAGAGACCTGTCAGGGTAGCCCAGCCCTGCACATAACCAGATAAATAAAACTATATGATATTAGGCTGAAAATATGTTGCCCTGCAATCTACCAGCCTTCCTGGTATGAGGGAAGACTGGGGGAAGAGTTTTTGCCGCCCCAAGCATGGTGGAAGTGGTGAGGGTAGCTCCTCTGCCCAGGCTGGTGCACCCTGCCTGGGTGCAGGTCCCTTGGCCCCAAGCTGCTTCAGCTGATTTATGATCTCTGGGTGATCTCCTTGAGCTCTGAGGCGTGGTTTTGCATGCACATACTATAATTTTGGCTGTCTCCTCCGTAATGTTCACATTGGCCTGGTTTCCATCGATCCCTGCGTGACACAAGTGCCCTGAGCATCCAATGGGTCGGCGAGCGGCTCAATCTCTCCTCCTGATGAAGGTTTCGGATTTGGCTGCTGCAGGAGGTGGGGAGAGGGCAGGACACCCGCAGCCTGGATCTGAACCCCCCTTCCTCCCGGTTGCCTTTTTCTGGAGTTCCCGAGGCGTGTGTCAGGGTGTCCCTGCGTGGCTTCTTTCCTGCAGTCACAGGAACATCAACCTCTTGCCCGTCCCATATATTAGTTTTGGAACAGAGGGCTGCCAGTGCTCGTGTCTCCTTTCAGTGGTACAGTCCAGCGCAGAAATAAGCAGATACCCTAAAATCTTTCACCAACTTTTATATCCAGAAAAACTAGAGAAATATTGTTGTTGTTCTTGATATTGAATCCTTTGGCTGGCCAACAGCCAAACCAGCGTTATCCCCATTTTGGTGCTGTATAGGGACTTTACAAGCAGAAGCTACTGCCCCGAGGTACAATCCAGCATCCAGTGACTGTCCTTGGCTGTGGGGTGATTGAAAAAAGTCTGGCTGCCGGTTTTCTTCTTTCTGAACTTGTTTGCAAGTCTGTCTTCAATTGTGGGCAGATCAGAGGAAGGGAATATACAAAGGATCTGTGGGGATTGCAGCATTGCTGCAGGCCCAAGCCACTGACCTGTCAGCAACAGATTTTGACCTCGTTGTACCATCTGGTTTTGCTCTCCTTTGTCAGAGGAGAGGAGCAGGGAAGTGTTTTTGGGAGGGTGGGGATAGCAGGAGCGGCACTGACAGGGGCTTTCCCCTGGGCAGGGAGGATGAATGCGGCATGCGTGGGAAACGACGTGGAGGTACGGGCTGGGAAGGAGAAAAGGAGCCCGTCGGCTCCACAGGTTGGTCAGGCATGGTCTCTCATCCTCTTTCGTTTGAACTTCTGGGCTTTGTTCGCAAGAGCGATGTGATTGTACATTGATTTTTGCAAGAGTCAAATAGCTGTCTGCCAAAGGCAGTGCCAGGTTTTTTTCCATCTCTCTATTTCCATTCCAGAGTTTGCAGTTATCGGCCAAAGCCAGGCTGCAAAAGATGTGACATGGTGAGGCAATATCCAGTTCCTGATGTAAACGCAATGAAAATTTAATGCTCTGGCAACGGCTAATGGCCTTACCTCTTTGAAGTCTGCATGAGAGCTTGCATTGTTCAGGATTTACGTGCTAGCCCACAGCAAACATCAAATTTATTACTGTTGTATCGGTGAAAGAAGTTAAAGGGATGACAAGCCTGGCACAGCACTCGGTGCTGCTTTTGAGAGACTTGAGGGAGAGGAGAAGGAGCATGGAGACACCAGCCCTGGTTCGCAGGGGCTGTGCTGGGCAGCGGGTGGCTTTTTCTCCCCAGCGAAATAGGTTGGGTTTGAACCAGCTCGCTTTAAATACACTAAAGTGGTCTAGGTTAAAAAATAACTTTATTTTGAGGAGGTCCAAGCTGGAACACCTTACGCCCGTTCTGCTGCCCCAGCCAGCATCTTCTGACGCCTTCCCTCCGCACATGGATTTGAGGTGGTACCTGACGTGAGCGATTTGGGTGATGCGGAGCCAGCTTTTTAGGACAAGCCGTGACACGTCGCTCTGGGGTGAGGGTAGAGGGATGATGGTCATGTAACAGCGGGCAGCTTGGTGTGCGGAGGGAGCTGGGGTGCCGGCGTGTGGAGGGGTGAAGAGGAAGGCAGGGAAGGGCAGGTGAGTGATGTGCTGGGAAGCCGAGGTGCTGGGAAGGGATGGTCCTGAGTGATGGTTTTGTTGGGTCAGGTGGCATCGCTGGTTTGGAATAAACTTGTCTCCCAGCAGTAAAGTTGTCTTTCAAAGTGAGGGGCTTTGGTGCTATCAGGCTCCCAATTCAGAAAAGGATGTTTATTCCTCGTTCCCAGCAGTTTCAGCTATTGCTGCTGTAAATGAGGGTAAATGTGGAAGTTACTTTGTTCAGTGCAGGGCTCAGCAGCTGATCTTGAAAAGAGAAGCGGCTCTTTGGAGCATGGACAAAGTTAAGTATCAAAAAAAAAAAAAAGGATTAAATATCAGTACTTTGTACACGAGGAAGCTACAATCTGCAGCTTTCTGAAGTGCAATTCCAGACTGCGTTTGCTGGAGGTCCCCAGCCCACAGGGATGCACTTTGTGGCCTGGCTGCTCATCACCAGCTGTGCCGGTGAAGGCGGAAGGGCTGCTTTCTGTTTTTCTGTCCTTATTAATGCAAATGGTGGAATTTTGTTCAGAAGCTCTGTCTGCCGTGGCGCTCGGTGGGGTTTCAGCAGTGCCCAGGGCACGTGGGAGCGCACAGCCTTGGCTTCGCAAACCAAACGGGTGATTAAAACCCTACGGGCATGAACAGCATCGCCTTGCGGAGGTTGATGCAGGCGAAGGGGCGGCTGTTTGGGACCAGCAAAGGCTGTGCTGGCCCTTGCATCCAGGCTAGCAACCTCGCTCAAGCATCTGCGGCGTTCGGTTCAGGAGGCTGCAGAGTGCTCCCTCCTGTTGGCCAAGTGAGCAGCCAAATAGGAGAGCTGCAGCATCTCTTTTTTGGTGACCTGTGGGAGAGGGCTCCTTCTGTCCAGGTGGAGGAATTAGCTCAGGAGTCGTGTGCTGCTTAACAGCAATGTCCCTCAGTGCCACCTCCAGAGATGCTGTGGAGACCAGAGGATTGGTTTGGGTCAGGCATACAGCACCTGGACCAAAGGGCCAAATCATTATCTACTAGTATACGACTGGTAATTAGCCCTCAAAAGTCCTCAGCCGTGCCACGGCCAGCAGCCTGCTTTGATGGTGGATGGTGATGACAAGGTGACAGCAGAGCTCAGGGTCAGGGTATTGGGGATGTCAAGGGGACAGGAGAGTAACACGGAGCAAAGCAGAAGCTGGACACTGAGAATTAAAAGAAATCCATGGGAGGGATTTCCAGGGCAAAATGTTGTTGAGCCCCGAAAGAGATCAGGATTTTGCGGGTACTGACACACACGTTTCACGGATCCTCAGCATTTGGATCTTGTCCTGTGTGTGACTGGCCCTGAGTGCTGGTATAATGGCTGTATTGAGATATTTTAAGGCTATTGTTTCACCGTTTTTGTCTTGACAATGTTTAAAGACAGAGGCTAATCATGAGTAATTATTTCCCCTGAGCACGTACCCTGCCAACCCTTAATTAAAAACTACATTTCCATCTAGGAAAATGTCACTCAGGGCATAGCGTGGTTGCTTCTTGACTCAAAGCAGAGAAGTGGGAGATGCCGCAGCATCTCCGGCTGTCAGGGATGGGAAGCTGTCTGCTGTGGGCCTTGCTCAGCCAGGTCGAGAGCGTGAACAAAGATTGTTTCTCATAGCGGTTTGACTCTCTTGCACCAGAACTGCAGGAGACGGGGGGAGAACGTGCCTCAGGGATCTCGCAGTATCTACTTTAAATGTGGATTTCCAGTAAAAATTAATAAATAAGTGCAGGCAGCTGAACTGCTATGAATTTTAAAAGTCGTATCATCCCAAATCGGATGGCTTGTGCAAGAATTTGGCAGAAGAAATAAATGACCTCGAGTGCTCAGGACAAAGAAATGGCCTGCATTATCAGACCGACTGTATAATTATGTGCTGCCTGTTTGTGGGAAAAATGCATTGCCCCAGCTGGAGACCAGCTTTTAAATACTGCTAGAGAGGAGATCACTGATTGGATGTGCACCCCTAAAGCTTGGAAATTTAGGTGGTTTTAAAAGCAGTTTATCATAAGACCTTAAGCAAGAACATGCTGCTGGGCTGCTTCTATCATACCTAAAACTGCTCAGGTGAGAGAGGGCAGTAATGCAGCAAAGGATCAGGGCATTTATGTTTTCAATCAAAACATTATTAAGCATTAATACTATTTTTGAGCATCCTTTCTTCTTATTACAAATGCAGTATAAATTGTGAATGTTGCATGTATTAACCTTATTTAGCGAAATCCTGATAGGTGACCAGTGCCGGGGAAGAGCATTGCCTCTTAAATAATTCAGTTGCAATGCTGTGCCGTCCTGGATGGGAGAGAGCTGAAGATGTTAATCTCTTGTTTTCCAGGTGATCCGTTCTGCTGCTGACTGGTCCGCTGGCATTAAATACCACGAGGAGTCCATCCACAATGCCTACGTCAGCGTGATAGAAAACAGCAAGCACTACATATATATAGAAGTGAGTGGCAATGAGGAAAAGCAGGAGGGTCCTGATGCTCCGGGCATGGCTCGCAGCCATCAGGAGGGTACTTCTGCTTCTTGAGGTTTGGTCTTAGTTTTTTATGCATTTAGACACCTGTGGCTATTAATACAGCATCTGCTCTGCGTTTTTGGGGCTGTTTCCATTGACTTCAGTGGTCTTTGGACCAGGTTGATGGGTATGTACCCTGACAGCCTTCTGACCATAAGGTGAAAAAAAAGTAGACCTCTCCTTTATAAGCCTCTTTGCAAAATTTTCAGCAACTTTCATGGCCTGTGCAATAGTCTTCCTGTCCCCTCCATGGCTTGCAGAGTCCCCTGTGCATGCCTGAATCTCGCATCTGTGCAGCCTTGAGCTTCAGGAATCTCCTGTGTTGGAGAGGCTCTCAGTGCTGGCTGAATGGAGACGCTTATTCTCTTTTTTTCTTTTTTTTTTTAGCCTCTTGTTAGGATGTTCTTTATGTGAACTTTCTAAGGAGTGTGATTAATAAGGACTAATTCATTCCCTAAGTGAGCACAGAAACACACATCATATAATAATAATAATAAAAAAAGCATCAATTCAAATGGCACACAAACCCGGCTATCTGTAGTTGCTCTTGGTCTGAAATGAAGCATACGTATTTTTTTTTTGTTCATAGCTGGCAGTGTCTGACAGTAGCTTTGCTTGCTTTTCCTGCAGAACCAGTTTTTTATTAGCTGTGCTGATGACAAAGTTGTCTGGAACAAGATTGGCGATGCGATTGCTCAGAGGATTCTTAAAGCTCACAGGTAACCTGTTCTTAACAAGGCAATGAAAGTCTTCCAGGTGCATTTATATGATGTGGTGTAAAATAATATCTTAATGGACACAACTGTACGATAGCTTTTCCAACGCAGAACTGATGCGGTCAAACATCTGCTTGCTTTTGCAGCCGTGAGACTCTTTAGTGGTTTCTTTGCAGCCAACGAGTGGTTTTCTGGACTTAACCTGATGCAAATGTATTTTTAACTCTGCAACTTGTTTAAAAGCAAGTCCTTTATACTCCAGTTCAGTGACACCTTTGCTCCATAGCCAGCCAGTCTTGAACTGCGTGGTAAGGCAAGTCAATGGGTGAGAAGGCTGAACTGGGATTTGCGGCTGATTTAAGTTATCTATAGAGAGGATTGGCTTCAAATAGGGGGGGCAAACACATTTTGAGGATGTGACTGCAGGGTTCAGCTATTGTTTGAACAACTTTTTCTGGTAAGTGCTGGAGGGTGTTTACAACCTCCAGCCATTGCAAGGAGACCATTGTTTGCTCCTGGATGGATCAAATCCAACCACGGTTTAGACACTCCTTTTAGTTCAGCATGCCTAACCCCATGTTAACATTAATACCACAGGTAGTGTCTTGTCTTTGCTTTGATCCTGGACAGCCTTGCTTAATGTTGCTCCCCTGGAGTCTCTCTTTAAGATACACGTATGTCATAGTCTACAACTGTATCCTGGTCTTGCTGGGCTGATATACAGAAAACTTTCTAAATTTCTTCCTCTCATCTCTCATGTGCTTTTTTGCCAGGCACGGAGATGTTTCTTGCAATGATTATTTTTTCTGTATTGTAGTCGTCCAGAGCTATGCAGGGGCTGCTTTCCCAGACGTGCTCTCTCCAGAGTCACAGAAATTTCTCTCTCTTTCGCACTTGAGCTTGGAAGTTCCCACTTGGGTAAAGGCAACCAACCCCAGACAGACAGACAGACAGACACCGGGGTACGGGCAGTATCTGCAAGGTCACAGGACCTGCCATGAAACAGGCTTTGTTCAGAGGCACTGTGGAAAGAGGAGCACAGTTTAAACCGGGAGAGCGTGGGTGTTATCAGCTGTGCCATTAACAACAGGGCAGGGTAACAGGGTGGAGTTGCTGGTAATCTGTGAGCTGCAGTGCATAGCCCAAATAATTGAAATGAGCTAAGGCTGAAAAGATGGGGTGGATTTTCTCACCCGGGGTAAATGAGGAGTTGTGCCAGCGCTGCTGGAAATGGCATTGCTGGTGTTTGCATTGCAACCTCGAGGCTCGCAGGCAGTTGGATGTGGCATCTCTGTGCTGGTTGGTGTCCACCTGGAAAGCTCCTCTGGATTGCCTTTCCTGCCTTTGGGAACTGATTGCGCCATCGGTCCTTTGCATCGGTTGCCTGCTTTTAGCTATGCTACTGAGGAAGTGGCAAATTCTCCAGGTAATCTGCTAAGATTTTTCCTCTCACATAAAATTTATATAAAGGGTGGCATTCCATCCAGACATCAAAAAGTCTAGTACCGAAGGGAATTGCACAAATTCTTCGGTGACCCATTTTCAGATGTCATGCTCGCTTTTGTATTACTCCACAATTTTATGCCAATAGTGTGCCAGCTTAATGTCAGTGATTCCTAACAGAATATAAGATTCAAATTCTGCATACTCCAGAGTGCTTGGCGTTGCCTAAGATTAAAAGTAAATTCAGACCTAAATGGATTGTATCATAATGCTTATGTTGCAAATTGACCCAGGAAAACAGATGTTTAATTATAAATTAAGTTCTTCAGTTAAGCTTGTACACTTCTCACTCTTCTAAACTAAATATTTTCTACTGATGTAATTAATAATGTTCTTTTCTTGGTTTCCTCTTTTTTTCATGGGTGGCTCTCTAACTAGTTTAATAAACACTGGGCTTAGACAAACAAGCTGCTTTTGGGGGAATGCTTTTGTTGGTAGATCTTTTTCATGAAACAAACAGGCTTAGTTTCAAAGTCTCGTTGTGTACCAGTAAGACCTCATTAACTGTTTCTGAGGTCTGCTGTCAGGCTAAAGCTAGTTTACAGTGCCTAGCACAGCTATAAAGAAGCACTGGTTGAAATTAAAGAAACACAGGTCCTCACCAGCTCCCTCCCAGCTCAGACAAGACCCCAGTTCTTCACAATTCCAAATCCACAGGCAGGGCTTCTCTGAGGAAGGAATACTTTTAATAAAAACTGCAGACTGGCTTATCTTCAGACTGCTCCTGAAATGGTTTTTCCTGATTAAACTGTGTTTGCCATCTAGTGGCAGCACCCTTCAATGGACCATCCTCCTCCTCCTCCTCCTCTGGGGTGCAGGGCAAGGGATTGCCAGCACCCAGGGGTGCCTGGAAAGCACTGGCAGAGCTGATGCATCTGGCTTTTGTCAGCAAAGAAAACCCAAAGGTGGGCTTTAAGAAAAGCCTCAGGCAGTGCCACAGCTGTAGCTTTTGTTCTCAATGGGATCACAGTTTAGGGTATGGTTTAGTTTGGGGGAGCTCTGGAACTGAGTTTTTGTGGGTTGTGATATATCAGTGAAATACTTGCCTTCCTTAAATGATCAATGTTTTGCTTGTGCCCTGAGCTTTTTCCACCTTCTGTGATGTTTCTGACTTCTGAAAACCAGGGTGCAGTGGGAATGTCAGGTTAGATTTTGGGTTTCTGCCTGTGACAGCTCTGTGATCTTTGCTGTGCTCTGCCAGGCAGTTGTACACACCAGTCTGCACCAGTAGCCGTGTGACTGGGCTGTCGGGGTCCTCAAACGAACTTTTATAGTGGCAGACACAATCTGCAAAATAATTAGCCTGCCCTTGAACTTCAGTGAAAACGTGTTTCTTTTCTTTTAGCTTCTTTTGTTGTCTGCCGAGAGTAAATTATTCCTTCTCCTCCTGAAGGTTTGAGCACTCGCTGAAGTACTGATGACAGGTGATGAAGACCTGAAACTGGAAATATGTTTCACACTTTGCTCCCTTAAAATTTGTGTGGTAGCCTTGGCTGGAAACCAAGTCGGGTCAGCACAGGGAAAGTGAAACCGAGGGGACTTCACTTTGTACGAAGCTGTAACATTTGCGGGCTAATATTCCCCCAAACTGTGATTTCAGGGAAAACAAGCGTTTCCGAGTATACGTGGTGATCCCGCTGCTGCCTGGGTTCGAAGGAGACATTTCGACGGGCGGAGGGAACGCGCTGCAGGCCATCATGCACTTCAACTACAGGTACGGCAGGCGGCCCCGCTGCCGGAGACCTCCCCGGTGGTGCCATCAGCGTCCCGTCGGATATCTGCATGAGCAGGGAGCGTTGGGAAAAGGCGAAGAAAACTGTTTGTCTAACTTTCCCTTAGTACTTTAGCTCATTTATTTGCTAGCTGTGGGATTTGCGTTAGGAGGTGAGGCGATGCTCACCGAGTGGGGAATTACGGTGGGTAAAGCCCGGTACTCTCTGTGATGAAATCCCTCTGCCCTGGTGCGGCGGATCCCCCAATCCCTTACACAAATCCCGGAATTCTTTGTCTCCAAATCTGCTTTTTCGGCCGATGCTTTGCCTGGCTCTGTGGTTCCCCCGCTCCAGGATGGATGGTTTTGGCGGTCCTTGCAGCACAGCAGGTCTCATGGGAAGGACTGAGACGCAGCGGTGCCCAGGTAGCCTGGCGCTGGGAATGGGCTGTAGAGGAAGGCAAAATGGCCCAAGGCAAGCTGGTTTTACTGGAAAGCTGCTGTGTTATGGCATGGCCAGGGCGCAGTGGGTCTGCAGAGACTACTGCTGCCTCCAGAGTGAAATCTCCCTTGTCTGCTGGTCTGCAGGGGTCCTACCGCACTTCCAGAAGGATAAGCGGGACAGGAGACACAAGCAGAAGGAAAGCAGCACGTCTCCCTAACCGGGCCCTTCTGCTTGAGCTTTCTTCTGCAAGGGCAACCATAGGTCTTAAGAAATTGCCCATGGGTTGGTTTTGGGGGGTTTTTTTGAATGAGATGCCGGCTGTGGCTTTTCCAGTCGGGCCATAATCACGCAAACTCCCTGACCTGGTGTTCTGTACATGTTGACTTTTTTTTCTTGATGTGATTTCACATCCAGACCTGTGGCACAGACAGTAGCAGCCCTGTTTTTGTAACACATTTATCATCATTGTGGTGTGCTCTAGAATGCAAAAATGCTCCCCAGCTCCTATGTGGACTGGTACGAGCTCCTTCAAGAAACGAGCAGTCCTTGGTATATCAACAGTCGCTTGGGAAAAATGTGTGCTCTGGAAGTACCGTGTTTCTTCTGCCTGCACGGGGTATTTAAAAGGCATCTGTGTTTGCAATTTACCTCGCCCGGTTCTGCTGCAGCATATGCCATTGCCTCGAGTGGCGGTGGTGCTGACAGCTGCCTACCTTCTTTCCAGGACCATGTGCCGAGGAGAAAACTCAATCCTGGGCCAGCTGAAGACAGAGAGTAAGAGCTTTATTCTTCTCCTCTGTATTGTTTAGTCTTGGGATGCTGCCGTTCGATGGATATGTCTATAAGACATCAATCAGATCCTCTAGCTTCTTATTAACGTGGGCTTGCTGTGGCTGAGGGGTTCGGGGGGAACTGGGACATCTCACAGCAACGTGTGCTAGAGGCTGGTGGGGCTGTGAGTGACCTCCTCTGCCGTCATCCTGTGGCGAGGTCTGTCGGGTCATGCGAGCTGTGGCCCTGTTGTCAGACTTTTGCACTTGGATGCAGCCTGGATCCGGAGGAGGGGAGAGCCCCAGGGAGGAGCACGGCATGATTGCAGCTGCTCGGGATCATGTTATTTGGAAAATGTCCTGAGCAGGGTCACGCTTCTGGGAGCGAGGAGCCCTCAGCCTCCCCGCCGTGAATCCCACCCTGGGCTTGTTTCTGGAAGCTGATGAACGCGGAGAGGAAAAACCTGCCGAAGCAGGACGCTGTTTCGGAGTTGCTTCCTTGCCATGAGGATGCCTGCTTGAATTTGCTCTGCTGGGAATCAGAGCACCATGAAAACCCACGTGTCACAAATATTAGGGGCGTACATAATGCCTCATTCGTTCTAGGTCTTTGTGTAAATCCGAACTGCAGACAAGTACATTAGGACGTGTTTTCCGTACTAGGCATGGACAAAACACCTGCTTCAGCCTCCTTTCTTCAGCATCTGCAGAAGAACAGTTGTATAGTCCGGTTATTTTAAGATGTTCGGATCAGTGGTGAAAATTTGCATGCTGCACAAGGGAGATTGGGGTAATTTCTCACCAAAGTGGAACTATCTGAGCAGGCAGTGGATCAGGGCAGTGCAGAGCGCCCACGGGCAGCTTTTAAAGCCTATTGTTAAAGAAACTTATTTCCATTATCTGTTTGTTCATTATTTCTTTAAAATGTCAAAAGTGAACTGTTATTCATATGGGTCTTTTCTAGAAAGAGGGTCTTTTCTCTTTCTTCTCTCTTCCACCTCCCTCATCCCATCGGTTTTGTTCTCTTTTAATTTTCAGTTGGAGATAAGTGGATAAACTACATCTCGTTCTGTGGACTTCGAACATATGCAGAGCTGGAAGGAAAACTAGTCACAGAGCTCATCTACGTTCACAGCAAACTGCTTATTGCTGATGACAACACAGTTATAATCGGTGAGCGGGGGGCTTGCACAAAGGGTTTGGACCACTCAATTATATCTGGATTAGTCCTTTTGCTTCTCTGGCCTGTACTCAGTGCAGGCTGCAGTGCCATGTGCTTTTCTGTGTTGTGATTTCTTTCTTGTGAAATATTTTGCTGTTTAAAAAAAAAAAAAACAAAAAACCAAACTCATAAATTCATCAGGAGGGTAGGTAGGAGGGAGGAAAGGATTTGGAGGGCTGTCATTTAATTTGTGTTTCTAAAATGGTTTTAAATCTCTGTGCAACAGTGTAGAGAATCCCAGTGCAGGGAATATTGTCCATCTGTCTTGTATCAAACTCCGCTCTAGCAGGAGGACTTGTGAGACTTGTCATCTGTTCCTTAAAGAACAGAATGTGCCGTAAAATTTGGAAGGCTTGGACAACATGTGTCATTTATCAGCTCCATTTCCTAAGAATGGGGAAATATGTTATAACAAGTAATAGATATCATTTCATCCGTTTCTGTTACCATATTTATTATGAGATCATGAAGCAAAGACAACAGACTTCAGGCTCAGAGTTCTACATCGCAGCAGAAAAGCAGAATTTTAGCCTGTTTCTTTAAAGAAACCCTTTTTGATCTGCTAAATCAGCAACGAAAACTTTGCCAAAGAATAACTTAATACCAGATTTTGCAAGACTCAAAATACTCCCCTCCTTCAAAGCAGCAGTTCAGCCTGTAGTCTCAGATGACCTGTGGTTAGGTTTGCTCCTCTGTTACCCTCTCAGGGGTCAGATCCTGTCTCCAGTACGCAGAGCAGCCCGAAGGTGGTTTTAATATCACAGCAGGAGCAGTGTCCTTGCAACTGTGATGGTCTGGGGGCCTGAGACAGATTTTAATTTCTATTTTCTATACCTGTAAGCCTGAGGACAGATTTTTATACAGCGTGTGCATCCATGCTGGCTGGTGAGGTGATAGGGAGCTGCTGTCATCCCTTTTCTACCCAAGAAAGAGATGGTGCATGGAAATAAAATGCTAATGGGGCCACTGTGCAGGAGAGGGAGGTGAAAGGACGGAGAAGGGCTTGGCTCGTTTTTCCTCTGGAGGCGTTAGCTCCCTTTGAGTTAATTCAGTCACTGGGAAGGCTAAATGGCTAACTGGTGCCTGGGAGTCTCTTTCAGGGCTGGGAGCTGTGTCTGGAGATTTTTTGTTGTTGTTGTTTGGTCACTTCTGTGGGTTAATGACCTGATGACTTGCTATTGCAGTTCCCTTGGAGCTGCGGTGTCCCCCATCCCTTGCCTTCTGAGGGCTGCGTGGGCCAGAGAAACCCTTTTGGGGGATAAAGCCTCAGCTGGTCTCGAGCAACGCTGCGGGTGTCAGACCCTGCATGGCACAAGCAGGCTGGGGAGCTCCCACCGCCGTGCACAGTCAGGGCTGGAGCTGCCACGTTGAGCCCAAGCGCACCCAAACCCTTACAGGACCGGGTGCGTTTTGGAGAGGACTGCCAGCC